TAACCTATCAGAAGTTTCCAAAGCCATGACATCATCATCTGGTTTTCACCTCAACTGTTTAAAGAGACAGTAATCATAACTGTGCATGTAAACATCTGGTTTTGAAGACATTAATGAACAAATCTCAGATATTCCTTCTGTCTCATTATTGTAGCATCTATTTAATTTCAAATAAGTTAGATAATCCTTAAAGAAATCCCTGAAACGGGACATATTAATGTCATACAGTGAGTAAAAACAGGATGTTTGTGTATGTTCTGTAAGTATGAAGCAAATCTTTCTGTGTGAACCAGGTTTGCTCTTACCACTGTAGCGTTAGCTGCGTCTGTTTCTTCTTGTCCTTGATGATCTGACTGATTGTCTTCCTGGATGAACTGATGCTCTGTTTCATGGTCAGGTCAGAGTTCAAGTCCAACAGGTCATGCTCGTCTTCAGACGAAGGCGTCTCATTGCTGTCCTCTGCAGAGAAAAACAACAGAGCGGGAAATTTTAAGCCAAAATTCACCTGAAAAACACGCAGAAACTTCTGGAAATGTTTTCCAGCATGCACCTACAGTTTCAGTTGGAAATTAATGAAATTATTTGATAAATCTGCAATTCTTTCAGTAAAATCATTCCTGTAAATGTAGGGTTGTGCAGTTTGAGAAACTTTTACGGCGCTCAACAACTGTAAACTTTAGCTTGTAATTAAAAACATGGAGGAATAAAGAACAGCAATCTGCTCATTTTCTTAACTCTTTATATTTCTCTTCTCTTAAATTAGTTCATTAACATGCTTCTGATAGTTTACTCTCACCTTTCTCCACTAATGGAGCATTTGATGAGTAGTTTTTAATTTATTTTAGATTTGGTGTTTCTGACTGAGCCTTCAAGGTTTTCCTTATTTCCTTCGCAGCTTTAAATTCTGATTAGTTTCTTTGATCCGACCTTGGAGATATTTCTGACTTTGTTTATCCCACTAGTTTAATTATTGTACTACCAAAAGTATACAATATGATGTGGATAATGTTGAAAAGAATCAATAAAGTAGACCCATATTTTCTGAAGTATGCGGTTATAATTTTTAAGGCCTGTACTGTGACCTCGTAATGACTTGTTATTGTGCTAACGGGAAATGTTTTCATTCCTGTTCCAAAGAAAAAGCCTTTCTACAAACCAGTGTGTTTAATTACTTTCAGAAAAGGTCCTAAAAGAAATTCCTGTCAATTCTAACGTCAAGATAATGTTTTATTAGCTTATTAGGTTCACAATTGTTTTCTTTTAAATCAATTTGTCACCCTTAAATGTTAAGATTGTTGAACTAATTTAGATATAAAAGAGAATGCAAAGATGTCATTGGTTAATTAAGTTTTGACTAATTTAGTTTTTATTTGTTGTTTTATTTTTAATTGATTTCATAATTTTCCACAAATGTCAACATTCCATAGAGGGAAATGTATCCATCCTATTTTTGCGTACTTACAGTAGATGTTTAAAATCAAGCAACAGTTGTCTTTTTGTAACATTAGCAGCTATAGACTAGGTCTATTCAGCTTATCGGAGAGAAAATGGCTCTTTGGATAGGAAATGTTGCACAGGTCCAAAAATTCCCCTTCAGAATATTTTTTTCAGAAGATTGGAAATCATCAGGATGCTTATTTATTAGTGTAAGATGAAATTTTATATTAGTTTCCTGTCAGCAGTGATTTTTACCCTGGCAGTCTGCCACAGACTCCATTAGCTCTTTTATGCTAGCAGCTAGCAGGTGGTTTAGCTAAACTCTACTGTCCTCAGTTTGGGTCCCAGAGTCCGAAAAGTATCTTGATGTGGTTTCCACGCTACAATGAAGGACTCAGTCTCTATTTTGAGTTTTCACAAATGGCCAATAGTGGATGCTAATTTATCATTTAGTGCTTTTGCTAACATTGAAAATGTTTAGCTCAACGTAGCTTCCCATAAATAAAGACATTTCCAGAAAGATCCTAAAGAACTAATTTACTTGGCTGCTTCCAGTTACTCAACTTGAAGTTCAACATCTGCGTTGAAGTTTTGGTTATTCATGCTCTTATTCTGAAGGGGGAACTGTTTGGACAGCAGCTATGTTTCCTCACGTTTTATTTTTCTCTGCCATACAGGTAAAAGAGAAAACACTAAGAACAGAGAGCAAGATACAAACATGAATCCAATTTATAAACATTTGTGTAAATTATAATGTCAAAGTTAAATTGTTGGTGAGTGTTGTTTTATTTAAAGAGTAGATATAATTTAGCATGTAAAGTGTAATGTAAGGACTCTAAACAGATATTAATTGAAGATCACAAAATCTGGAAATTAGAAACTCAAATTTAAACTACTTTAAAAAATTAAGGTAAAATTAAGAGTTTTTAGCTACAAATGTTTGTTTTTCAAGGCTGCATGTTCTCCGTGTGTAAAACAAACATCCAGCACATATTGCATAATCCAGTCATGTGATCTACTAGAGCCAACACTGAAGCTAATGTACAGAACGAGCCGAATATAGACATAAACAAGGGCAGGAGCCATCAGTAATAACTGAGTCTCCAAAAATCCAGAATCAAAAATAACTTAATCACAAATATTCTACACTAATATTTCCTGTTTAAAAACAATTATTATGTCTATTATTACTTAAAATACTTAAAGTGAAGAGCAGGTTTCAAAATGGCGTGTTAGTAAATGAGAAGATTTTATTTCAATGGCCTAAAGCAAAAAAGAACATTTTTAGAAGAATCACTTAGTTTCTTATCAGTTATAGTTATAGCAAATTAAATAACAATTTTCATATTTTTCTTTTTTCTTATTTTTCTAATTTTTTAAATCATCATTAAGATCTTAGTTTCTTGTATTTGGATGAAAGTAAAAACATACATTTTGTACATTTATATGTACAATAAAATAAAAACTAATGACATTACGACATTTTATCAGGGAGTGTACTACAAATTGAATGTCACATGTACTTTTTAACAGGCTTTTTGCACAAATGACAACCTTTAAGTGTGAAATCAATCAAATGTTTATCTGGCAACAATAAGAGAACCATCTAATTTTCTTGTTCATATGAAAAAAAGTTGTGTTAATAAAAGTGATTAAAGTTCTGCTCAATTTTTTAAAGCATGGCTGCAAAGATGTGGATTTAGTCAGTGAGATTAGGAAGCAAAATTTAAAACTTCACATTTTCTGAACACAAACAGAACAAATATTATTTGAGCTAAGCTGTAGCACCACCCTGTGGCTAATTAGTGTCACTGCATTTATTTACGTTTGAATTAAATCATATTCAAACTTCACTTCAGTTGAATTTTAATTATGTAAAAAATTTAATTATGTAAGATGTATAATCACAGATTTACCTGATTTAATCCCAGAATCGTCTTCTTGATGAAAAGTTGTTTGTCCATTAAAATCAGAGTTTATTTCTGTTGAGTTTTCCAAAGTTTTTGTAAAAGAGTGAATAAGAAACATGTCGCCTCTGGCTGAACTCTCACTGCTGCGTTTCATCGGCATGATAAACAGATTAAAAAAAATAAATCTTTTTTCTGAAATTAACTAAATAAAAGTAAAGTTTTCATCTACTGAACCATGAAGAAATCTTTAAGCAATACGTCTCAACCTCTTATTTACACAGATCCAGCTGAATATCACAAGCATCAGGTCCAGCATTTTGGAAAAGTGAAGCTGTGCCGAGGGAAGGAAGAACTAATGAAGCTGTGGATGCATTCATCATATTTACCGAAGACTGAGCTAATCCACTTTATCAATGATTAACAGAAAACCCTCATCCATCTGTCTATCCATCCATCTATCTATCCATACCTCCCACAGTCAGCTGGCCTTTTACTTCAGGTTAAACACACACAGATTTCACTCAGAGCTGCTCTCACTTTGTTTTCATTCTATCAGGAAAGATTTAAAACTAAAATATCTGGATACGTTTGGGTTAAATGTGACTCCTCTACTACAGTCCACAACCATCCAAAAGAAGCTTTATAGTAAAATAAATGTATATTTTCTTTCAGTAGCTTAATTTAAAACTGAAAAAAACATATTTTACTACATTTTTTTTATCTCTATGACATAAAAACAAGAATTAATTTCAACAAAATCGCAGCTGTTAACAATCCTACTAAGTAAATATATGTGGGATGTTCTTAGTTTTAATTTTTGATGCATTGCTTTCCGTTTCCCTGGGATATAAATAAGATGTGACACACACTTCAAAACAATAGAAACTGGACCAATATGGAGTCTTATTGTCATCAAAACAAAATGAAATATGAATTGTTTTTAATAGTTGCAAAAATTGGACATTGGAACAAATTAGATATGTATAACTTGTTTCTGTCCCTTTAAAAAATTTCCTGTTCACAATAAATTATTAACAATTTCTATGAAAACTTCTTGTATTATGAGTATTTCATAATACACAGTGATGTTGAATCTATAACTCAGATTGTTTAACTGTGTGTGCAGCAAATCATAAAAAATAAAATTAAAAAGTGTGCAAAAAGGAACAGTGAAACAACCCAATTTGTATGAACTTTAATAATATTTTTAGTTATATCGACTAAATGAGAGCAGCTTTATTTCTACATATATAAAGTCTGACTTGTCTGAACTACCTTTCTCCAAACATGATTTTCTGTTATTTTTTGATACCTTTAATTGGTTTATGAATGTAAAACAAAACAAAACAAATTTTATGTTTTATGCTTTGTTTGCCATTTAAATAAAGTCAGTATAAAATCCTTACCTCTGATGGTCTGAAGTACAACAAAGTAGTGAAATGACTTACAGTGTGTGCACACATAGCATAAACGATATGAATATATTAATAGAATATGTACAAAAATAACCATATATAGTTGGATGTTAGTTATTTAATTAATTCATTTTTATGTGATACCCTAGATGGTGATTTATTTATTATTTTAAAAACCTACGTGAGATGCCCAATAATTACGAAATTAATTTTGTTACTGTATTTTTTAAAGGGGAAAAATAGAAACATGGGTCAGTGTTTGAGTATTTCTATCTAAATGGATATGCTTTATTAGTAATTTACTAATTTGTTCATTGTAACAGCCTGAACGAGGTGACGATTTATTTGTCTGTTTATTCGCTGAAACGCGGGATTCGTTAATGCGCATAAGAAATTAGCATCTCTGTAGCTTCACCGAGGCTAGCAATGGTTCCCAGCCGCTGCGGGTAACTTGGACTTACCCGGGGGCAGCGAGCAGGAAACGGGCGCCAAGGTGAGTTGGGTCACTAACTTCGGTCAGAAAGGAGTCACCACTCGACCAGTGTTCCCGGTTACTGTTATCAGTAGGTCTTAAAGCAGACCAGCGCGGTTAGACTGGATTGAGATTAAAAAAAAAATTAGTTGGGTCGTCTGTGTTAGCTCAGTTAGCTTCGTTAGCTGTTTGGTGTTAGCTCCCGCTAAACGAAGCTAATTTGCTGAGTCACTGTTCGCTTTATCAAAAACAACCGTTCAACAGTTTTTTTTGTTTTTATATGTTAAAAAGCAATTGTAGATATATCTGTATTCTGAGACATTTCTATCTTATCTTAAAGTTTTAAACCGAAAATTAAAAAAAATTGTTACACAGGGTTTCTGTGAAATCTGCAAAAAGTATGGGATTTATGCATTTCTCAGTAAATATAATGGAATAAAGTCAGAACATTTTCCTTGTCACTCTTTATAAAAGTAGCATCTATCCATCCGTTTGCTCATCCATTTATCCTCTTGTTCATGCACCTGTCCATCCATATGAGCCATCCATTCTATATCAAGAGGTCCTGTAACCTAAACTATTAACTGCTTTTATTGAATTTATTTAATAAATTCTCCATCACAGCTTTATTTATCTTTTGGTTCCCTAGTTCTTAGCTTTCCAAAAATTACTGAGGTGTTTGGTTCCAATACTTTGGAATATTTTCCAACTTGTGCACATGAATATTTTTTTAAATTATTTTGTTTTGATTTTCTTAAATCCTAAACTTATTTCTTGTTTCATAATAATAGATCACTGCTATGTTTCTATGTTCATTAATCATGGTTATAGTAGGTTAAAAAACTACTATAAATTACCAATGTACAAATGTGAATCTTTAGTTGACATGTAATTTATTCCTGTTGTGGCCATTATTTAACAAAATTAATGACAAAACCACCTTGTTGTCTTTAAATCTTGTTTTAAACTACCCTCATATAACATTTTAAGATACAGTTTGTGTGGGTGTTAGTTTGGGAAGTTTGCTGATATTGTTCAATAACAAATATGTACCACAAATGATGTCTTATATGCATTATGTCCTTGTCACTTTATGTATGTTATTTAGAGGAGTTTCTGATAATCACTTTTCTGTGGAACATAAGTCTATAATTATAATTATTTGTAGAAATGTGCAAATTCCAGCATTTCTTTTTATGGAACACCACTTATTTTCATTGGTGCTCATTGGCTGTACAGCAGAATATAAGAAAAATTGTTTATTAGCTTCAGCGCCAAGAACATTTCCACTGCGCCTGTTAATGCATATTAAGGTATATTTTATGAAGTAGTCAGCTATAAGTGTATTTAGAAGAGGTTTTGAGGATTGTTCGTAGGCTGCTGTTTTCCCAGCCACTGGAAATATTGGGGGTCCTCTGTATTTAATTAAAAACTAACATGAAACAACATCTGTATTCCCTGTAGGTTGATTTGGTGATTTGAAAGGACCAGATTTTGCTACAATGCAGTCCAAGCTCGGACCAGAACATGAGAAGTAAGTAAAACAGTTAAATCATAAACATACCAGTTGGAGCGGATGAGTTAACTTCTTTAGGTTTTTATCTCATTGGTTGGTTCCTGTATTTACTGCTAGAATGTAACTATTAGACAGGACTATTATGAAACATTAGATCAAGGTAATTAACTTTCCAGTTGTGATATATTTATTTTTTTTGTATAAATAGCTGGACTTTATTTACAATTTAAGTGACATCTAATGGCAATTAGATGCACAGGATATACTTTAGGGGTCTCAGAATGTGATAAATGTGTTTTTTACACTTTTATCATGTCTGATCAATACACAGCCTGGTTGAATCAGCAGGCTGTTTCCTTATTGGACTTCTCTTCCACTGAGCCACAGTCACCCCAAACATTAAATCAGTACTCTCAGCTTCCTGCTTTCGTAAATTACAATTATTTAATAAAGCATTACAGATAGAATATTGTTTATTAATTGATGCTATTTGAATTTGCAGGTCACAAGACTCAGGTGTACTGACACAACATGCCCTTTGGTCAGTGGATCTCAGTTTGACGCACTTGGACTGGAGCCCTGAAGCCACCCTGATACACTTCCAGGGACAATACCCTTCCATATGTGAACTGGACTACAACATATTGCAGCAAGAACTTCAGAATGTACCAAAGACTAAAGCCGCAGTGGACGTTGCCGATTTCTGCCTAGTTGAAGATGTGACTTCAGCTCGCTGGTTCAGAGGAAGAGTTCAAAACCGAAAGGAGGACTTGGTTGATGTTTTCCTCATAGATTGTGGAAACGTGCTGAGTGTCGACATTGCTCGCATATCTTCCTGTTCGGACGACTTGTTCATCCTGCCTCCAAAAATAGTCAGTGGATTTCTGGCAAATGTACTGATTCTCCAGAATTGTTCTCACTCTGTTGTTGAACGATATTTGTCAAGCCTGACAGGTAAAAATGTCACAGGTTTTATCCAAGCACTTCTTCCTCACAAAGTCCTTCTGTTTGAAGCGCCTGACATCAACTCTGACCTTGTTCGACATGGCTTTGGGAGACATGTGGACCGAGATACGTTCCTCCTCCTGGTTAGCATGCTTACAGAGGTGCCACTCAAACAAAACATGGAGCCAGTTCCTGACCTGCTCATTGAAAAATCAAGAGGCCAAGAATTTTGCTACAAATCATCTAGCTTGCAGGGATATCAGGACATGTTGTCATTCTGTGGGCCTAAATTTAGTTTTGGGAAATACTCTAAAGTGCGAGTAACTGCTGCTGTCCATCCTGGGCTGTTTTACTGTCAGATGGCTGACACAGCAGCAGAGCTGTTGCAAGTTTCAAAAAAGCTGGCTGAAATTTGTGAGGACAAAACCAAAGGATGCAGTCAGAGGACTCCAGAGAACCTTGGTGTTCTGTGTGCAGTTAAAGGAAAAGATCAGAGATGGCACCGAGGCTTTGTGCAGCTCCTGCCAGCCAACTCTCAAGTAAGAGTTTTCTTCATTGACTACGGTTTCTTTGAGACAGCAAAAGTTGAGAACGTCCACAGCTTACCTCCTGAATTTTACTCAATGCAAATAATGGCGTTTCCATGCACACTTCCCCCTCTGGCTGACCAGGACTTGGTGTTCAGAACTCAGCAGATGAGTCTCCTCAAGGCAGGACTGCTCGGAGCAGTTCTCGATGTGGAGATTACTGGTTTTGATAAAGATAATCATTTGTACACCATCACAGTGCTGAGTGCCAAAGACAAACACCTGGAAGAACCAGAGCCGATCCTAAATCTTTCCTCCGAGCCACTTTCAGATTTTGAGGAACCGTCCCCTCAGGATCGATATGAGAATTACGAGAAAATCCTGGGTGAAGCTTTATACAAAACCCTTGAAGCAGAGGAAATTCAGGTTGGCTCCTTTTTCATGGGCTATGTTGAGTATGTTCAGGATCCAAACCACTTCTGGATCAGAACCCAGAAACGCAACCAGGAGCTTGAGGAAATGATGGCCAAAATAGGAGAGCATTTCAGTCAGGTGAAGATGGATGAAGATGTACTGCTGAATCTGGAGGTAGGGGCAATGTGCTGTGCTCTGTACAATGAAGACTTTCATTTCTACAGGGGTGTGGTGACAGACATTCTCGAGCACGGAGCCGAAATCCTTTTTATCGACTATGGGAATGTTGAAAAAGTGCCACACAAGTTGATAAAGAACATACCCAAAACATTTGCTGGCATATCCCCCTTTGCTGTCTGTTGCACACTTGTGAACACTTTTCCTTTAGATGACGTCTGGCCTAGCGCAACATGTCAGTTCTTCAGAAAAGCTGTGTCCGGCAAAGCTTTGCTTGTCCACCTAATCCAGATGAAAAAAAACACATTTGTCGTCGACTTGTTTGAGATGGGAAGCGACAAAAGCATTACTGAGGCCTTGATCTCTTCCAAACTGGCTGAGTACATTCCATGTGTACCTGTGGAGAAAAAACAAGATGTTTTGGATAAAGCAAGACAGCTACAAAGCTCTGAAACAAACATGAGAAAAGAGCAGCGGCAGGATTGTAAAGGAGAAGTGAGCCTGTGCAGAAATGAAACTAAGAAGATTGAAGTTCATTCTTGTTACAAAGCTTTAAAATTCAAGCCAGGGTTCGAGGTCTTTGTACGCTGCTCCCACATTAACTCTCCATCTGACTTCTGGTGCCAGGCTCTAGATGGAAGTCAAGCTTTGGAGAAGCTCATGGACGACATCCAGCTCCATTACTCAGCTCACACAGTTCCCCTCCATCCAGAAGAGTTGTGTTGCATTGTAAAGTCACCTGAAGATGGACGCTGGTACAGGGGTTTAGTCATTGGACACAGGAAGAGCCGAGACATCGTGATGCTGGTTGACTACGGTTCCATTATCCTGGTCACACCTTCTCATCTTCAGGGAATTATGCCAGAATATCTTCTCTTGGAAGGACAAGCTTTCAGATGCAGCCTTTATAACCTCATTGAACCAGCAGATCCAAAATACTGTGGCGATTGGAGTCCCCATGCATGCAACTTGCTGAAAAGTTTTGCCCTCAACAGTGAAGGTGTTCTGAAATGTAAAATTTCATCCCTGTTGAATGTGAAAAACAAAGGCATTTGCAACGTCGTTTCTCTCCATAACACCCAAACACAGCAAAGCGTTGCAAATGCACTTATCAAGGAGGGACTTGCAAGAGTAGCAACTTCATTAACGAGGAAAAACTCTGATGTGTTCCCCGAGTCTTACATCTACTCTTCGTTTGACCTAAGTCCTGGAGATGAAGAACAGGTCTATGTTACGCATGTCAACAGCCAGTGTGAAGTCTACTGCCACCTCGAGAGGAACACAGAAATCATTGAAGAACTGGAGATTAAAATCTTAGAGGCAACTGAAAACATTCAAGCCAGGACAGGAGCTGTTGTGAGAAAGATGTGCCTCGCAAAATACTTGGATGGCAAATGGTACAGGGGTATAACCCTAAGTGTTCAGTCATCCCTGCATGTTGGTGTTTTCTTTGTTGACTACGGAAACACAAACATATCCGAGAGAAAGTCTGTCATGTTCATTTCCAGGAGGTGTGAAGAATTGTTGTATACGCCAATGCAGGCTGTAAGATTCAACCTCCATTCAGTGCCCACAGAGGAACTCTATGCAGATGCCCTGGAGTGGCTCATCAATGCAGTCCTCAATAGACTGGTGAGAGTTGTTGTGCTAGGAAAGAGGGATGATGGATCATTTGATGTTGAGCTGTTTGATGGAGAGATCAACATCAATGAGAAGTTGAAGGAGCTCATTTTGAGTCTTTCCCAGAAACCAGAGACTGCAGTCAGATTTTCTGTAAGCTGCAGAAAAACAAAAAATCAAAACCAGTACAAAAACCGTGATATAGGCACATTCAAAACTCTACTAAAAGTGCACAGTTCATCTCCATCTAAAGTTATCGTCGCAAAACTGAAAAACACCCAAAATTATGCTCTTGGTAGTGCCCCAAACAGGAAGGCAATAGCCAAACAAGAACTTGTGCAAAATCAAAAGAGGACTGGTCCTGTAAAACCTCAAATCAAGTCCACAAGTGAAAACCAACATACAAAGCAAACACAGCACAGAACAGAAAAAGGAACGCACCAACTGGTGCGGCTGGCATACAAGAACATAGATCCTGGATGTAGGATAAAATGTTTTGTGTCCCACATTGACTCCATCAATAGGTTTTACCTCCAGGTGTCAGATGACGAATCTGCCATCCTGAAAATGGGCGAAGATCTCAACTCAAGTGACTTCAAAGATTCCTTGAAGCTGGCCTCACCTTTGACTGTCAGTGATGCTGTTTTGTCAGAGTTTGAGGAGGATGGAGCTCTGTATCGTTCAGTCGTGAAGAACCAGGAAGACGATTCCTCCTACAAGGTGGAGTTTGTGGACTACGGAAACTCAGCATTTGTCAGAAAGGAAAAGATCTACTTTTTACCGGAACAGTTCCTATCCCAGCCAAGGTTTAGCATACCATGTTCACTGATTAACACATGCACCTATAGAGATGAAGCTTCTTTCATCGAAGCTGTGACAGAGAAGCCACTCTTGGTTGAGTTTGTTTGTCAGATTGGGGATCACTGGCAAGTCAAGGTTGAGCTTCTTGATGTTCTTGATGAAGAAGCTGAAAGCGATGCAACACTTAATAGCACCTCTGTAGCAAAAAGCAAAGAAGCGAGTCAATCACTTTTATCTGATTTCACTCCAAGTCCCTGTAAAAAGAATCTCAGAGAAGAAAGTCAGCAAAGTGAAAAGTACAGAGAAGCAGCATCCACCATAAAAAATGAGAGTTTGAAGCCAAAACCATCAGCCAAGCAGAAAGTCCGAAATACCAGGGGGAGTGGACAAAGATACTATAGAAGAAAGCACTACAAGAAGTCAAAAACATCTTCCATCCCAGTCTCCAGGGACTGTCCAGATGTGTTCATCCATCAGACTGTTCAGGCCATAGAGACAGAAACTGGAACCATTCTTTCAGTCCAGAGTGACAGCAGCTTTTATGTCAGACTGACTAAAGAAAACAACTTGCTAACATCGATGGAAAGACATATGATGGACAACATAAAGAAGTTCAGAACTGTGCCTGAGAAGGATGTCAAAAAAGACCTGAAATGCTTAGTCCAGGCTGAGGACGGCAAGTGGCGGAGAGCTGTTGTTCAGCAGATACATGAGAGAAGGTTTGAGGTCTTCCTGGTGGATCATGGAATAACTGTAGAAATTCCAAGAGGGCCTGTCCCACAGCAATGTACCAACCTGGAAGAGGTCCCAAACCTTGCTTTGTTGTGCAAGATAAACAGTGTTGGACTCGATGAGGGGATTGCAGCTCATCAGTGCTGGTATGAAATGCTCAAACCGTTAGTAGGCACTGAGGTCAAGCTGATATTTGTCCAAATTTCTGAGGCTGATGAAATTTGGCTGGTTGAAATTGCCCTGAGTGAACTCTTGCTTAAGTGTCAAATCAAGGCTTCATTGCACAAAAATGGAGACAAGACTGCATTAGCAGCTGAAACTCAAAATGAGGCTTCACCAGATGGATTCACCGCAGACACCAGCACTCCTCAGCTGCTCTTCTTTGCTCCCATTGAGACAGACAAAGCTTACTCTGGCTTTGCATCAGCATTTACCACTCCCTATGAGTTTTGTGTTGTCCTCGAAGATTTACTCCTCATCATGGATAAAGTGTCTATAATGTTGGACAACCTGCCTGGCAATATGCCTTCTCTTCCAGAGGCCCACCTGGTTCCAGGTGCCTGCTGCCTGTTGATGTCTGAATCCAAGAACAAGTGGTCCAGGGCTCAAATCATTCACGTTGACACCACAGTGGTCCTGAAACTCGTCGATTATGGGCATCACGAGGTCATACCATACCATGACCTCTCCAAGCTGAAGCAGCTTCCAATAGAGCTTGCAAACCTCCCAAAAATGACTTATTCCTGCATTCTGAGAGGGGTGAAACCGGCCGGTGTGGACGGACAGTGGAGTGATGAGGCGGCAGCCTTCTTCCAGGATTGTTTGTACGAGAAAGATCTGCAGATTTTCTTCAGAGAGTTTGGCCCCAACTCCATCTGGAGAGTGGACATTGTTGCTGATGGAGTCCATATCGCCAAGAAGCTGGTGGATGCTGGACATGCAAACTATATAGATGTATTGCTTGGACGCAGGTATACTCTTCAGATTCTACTAGTAGTAAATTATAAGATGCATGATGTAGATTTTAACAAAACCATGCTATGTTGATAGTATATTTAAGATTTTAATGTGCATTGTTCTAACCTAAAGGTTTCAGGAGTTGAGTTCCTGTAAAGAACCTCAGGTTTGTGATACCGATGAAGAAGACTACAATGACGTTGAGGCTACTGATGAGTGCAAAGTGAACACCTCAGTCAGCTCAGAGTCCAGATCAAGTCAATGTAAGAAACAAATAGTTATAAAGACAATTAATAATAAATACTGGCTGTGGGAAGGTGATCTTTCACAATATGATATGCAGGTATTTTATAAAGTAGTTTTGCATAAAAGGCAACTTGTTCACTATAATATAAGACAAAACAAACTGGGCTTGAAGAAAGCTTTTACACTGCCTGGTAAAAGTAAGTCGCCTCTTAAAAAACTAGGTCACACTAATATCTTAGCTTTGATTAGTCATTTGCTGTTGCATTTTTTCATCAAATTTCTGCATCGTCAAAAGACTTATTTCCGTCCAGCGTTGCATTAATGTTTGAAAATTATGTGTTTCAAACCCAGTTAGATTACAACTCCAGAAGTTGGATAAGACATGGACAAAGTAGAGCAGTGTTCATTTTCAGCCTGGAATCATTTCTACCAGTAATGACCGTGTTATTGATCTTATTTTCTTCTCCAACAGGTTTCCTGATGTGAAGAAAGCTTCAAGTGTTTGCTGCAGTGTTTTTTTTTTGTTTTTAAATCAGCCACACAACAGAAGTTTATGTTTAAATGTATATGTATTAACATTTAGCTGTATTGATTTGTGGCTGATTATGTTTGTTGTGTTATAATTTCCTCACTCAACCCTTTTCATTCCTTAAACTTAGTAGAAGTTTGTTGCTCTGGAGAATTACATTTGTTAGAGGCTCCTCAAATGTGATGATTAGTTTTTTTGAGATTTTTAGGTTAGCCTTGTTTTGTATGTGTATTTTCAAGACTTTCGAAGTCTTTCTTTATATTAAGTAGGGAGATTGCTTAAATACTTAACTAAGCGTTTTCTATTATTTTACTGGTGCTTGTCTGAAATAAACTTATTTTTGTTAAAATTACCTGTGTTTTCATTTTGCTCTTGGTGGTGTTATGGAACAAGAAACGTAAATGCTTCATAATCTCTCAAATTTTCCCTTGACGTAAATATGATTATATGTTCATATAAACTTATTTCCTATATGGTCTATTATGTTTTCCATTCTTCTTGACTAAAGTCGATGCTGCATAGATAATTTGTTCAAAATAAACACAATTGGTTATGAGCTTCTTAGGCTCATAACAGAAAAACCTAATTTAAAAAAAACCAACAAAAAAAAAAAAACCCTGAATAATCAAAACAATGTTGTCAGAAGTGGGATTCGAACCCACGCCTCCAGGGGAGACTGCGACCTGAACGCAGCGCCTTAGACCGCTCGGCCATCCTGACAGATACTGTGACGTATTGACGGCGATAATATTAAGCGATACAGTAATAAGAGTTGTCAGTTATATTTCTGGTGTGTCTGAAATTATACATATCCGCGTAAAACTGGTGTAGCTACAATGACCCGCAATACTTTCGGTTTTTCTTTTGAATAAGCTAGTTTGTGGAGAGCCTATGGCATTGCTTTCAGAATAAAATTTCCAAAACACGTTTTTCCCCGCGAGAGTTCTGGACAGTTCGCGCTTCTAAAGCGCCAGTTCCATCCGCTTCCTGTTCGTTCTTTTCAGAGTTCTGTTTACATCGTGAAAAGAGTAAACGTATACTTTACTGTGTAATCTGCCCCCTCGTGCTAAAACCTTTTCCCTCATATAAAATATTTTGTGTACCTCAAATTCTGAATTAAATTTGATCTTAAATTCATATTAAATTTGCCTTATGAATGTTTCAATTTTTAAAGATGTATGGCAGTCATTTTAATTCTGATCATTTTTATCTATGACATAAAAATGTGGTTACTTTACTTAAGTTGGACACATTTACGCTGTATGTTCACTGTGACTTGACCAAAAAAAAGTTTTAGAAAATTTCTCAAAAACAAAAATAGTGTTAAACATAAAGTAAAATAAAAAAAAGTACTAGAATAAAACACATTTTTTTAATCCAACAAAAGCTTAGTAAAATTCAGTTTTGACAATATTTAAATGAATCTTAATGGAAACTTGATAGTTGAGGTAATTGTGCATATATATTTTTGATATCAAATTAAATTTAAAATATATTTTGCTTGTTTGGCAGCGAAACAAGTAAACGTTACTTCTTAGAAAAATGATGAAAAGATGAAACATTATCAGGCCCCATTGTTGAAAAATCTGTATTTATTAATGATTTACAAAAGGCTAAACATGAAACCATTTAAATGATTCAGTTCATTTTGAAACCTAGAGGGAGAAGTCAAGGAGGAAATGCTTGTAGTGATTCTACAGGTCGGTTACTAACAGCATTTTATCTCATCGTCACGTAGAATCAGTTTCATCTCCAGTCGATGAAAAAAATAAGATCCGTTCACACAGGATGGAGTCACTCAGAGTTTAAAGCTCAGCTGAAGAGTGTTGACACTTTGGGAAACCGTTTACTATGTGAAACCATCGCTCTGTAAAAAAAAGATTACCACAGTCAAGAGGTCCCAAATATAATCCACTTCTCTGAAATAAAAAGGTCTGCAGATACAGAGTAAATACTAAAATATGTGCATGTGTGTTTCACTTTTTCCTACAAGGTTTGAAATAAATACCTGTAAAGCAAACAAGCATTCGAAGAGAAGCTCTTCTTCCTTTATTAATATTGTGAACATTCATCACATTTTGAGTGGAAGTGTTTCTGAATTGAATTTAGGGAACAAATCAAATTAATTTCACACAACTCTGCAAAAAACTACCTTTAAAAGAACCTAAAACTTAACATTCGGAAACAAGGCGGGGAGGGGGGACACTGAAAACGAGAGGTTTGTTGGGTTTTCTGAATTGAAAATTCAAAGTTAATCACGGAAGCGTTCCGGTTTTCTTTAGTTTCCTGGAAGGTTTCCACAGTAGTAAAAAGAGACAGTTATGGACCGGAATATTTACAGTAAAGTTGTGCACTTACAGACCCCTTTACCATCCTCCAGCTCCTCTTAAGACGTCACAAAAACGAAAGAAATCCGCTCTCTGTCGCTACCGAGTGAAAAAACAGTGTTTCCTCTCTGAGAATTTAATCTTTAAAATAAAATAAAAAAAACGGATAAAATTAATAAAATACGCTTCTTTCTGCTGGCAAGAAGGAACTGAAAGTGAAAACAACAACAAAAGAGCGTAAAATATGATAAAATTGTTCATATTTCAGGAAGCTATTTAAAAAAAATTTAAACGAGAATAAATCTTTCTAAATCCCCCAAGAACCATTTTACAAACAAAAATATATCCCCCGTCTGTTGTGTTTCTCTAATCAGATATAATTAAACTTTTTTACAGTGCTTCATTATTATATAGCTGACAGACTCGGATGAATCTGAAACTAGAACCGTCTGCCATGTTCCAACGATACCGCTACGTCGTAAAAATAAAAGGTGAACGGTCCAGTTATCTCGAAATAAAAATAAAAATCAGAACCGGTAGGAGGCTGTCAGTGTTTGCTCCATCTGGACGTTTCCCAGGACCTCCTTAAGGTGGATTTAAGGCGGCGCTGGGAGGCCTACTGCTTGGTGTTGAGCTCGTTCTCCAGTTCCATCAGTTTCCGGGAAGCTTTGACCTTGTTGGAAACCTCTTTCCCCTGAGAGAAGAGGCGCTGGCGCTCCTTAAAGGTCAAACTCTCCGGCGCGTCGCTGGGGATCGAGTTCTCCTGCTCCTGACTGAACACAGACACAAAAACACAATGAGAAAAACTCCTTCACAACACCAGAGCTACAGAAAAGCTGCTGCAGTGTCTCTGTGACGCCACCAGGGGGCGATCAATACCAACAGATTAAAAAAGGTGGATGTTTGTTTCAGTTAAAAATTACTCCTGGCATTTTTAAAAACTAAACATTTTTTACCTACTCAAACTAAAACTGAACTATTCTTATATATATTAGGTTTTTAAAAATATTAATATATATGTTTCTTTTGTAGATCACAAACTTTAAATGTTTTTTTCTACTTATTTTGTGGGAGATTTGAAGAAAATTGAAAAATATTTTATATTTGATCTGTTTTCAGCAATAGAAACAGGATCTATGTCAGTCATCATTTGAAAACACTTGGCGTATTTAGATAAGTTTTAATACAGCAATTAAAAGCAGATTTATCAATATCAATACATTTAAAAAGGTGGATATTTTAATGTCATTTTTACAAACTAAAATAGCCAAAAAAAAATTTATTTAAACAAACAAAGCAAGAACTATTTTAATTAAACAAGGAAAGTCTGCATTTTTTAGATCAAAAATGTAATTTTTTTTGATAACTTATTTCAGGCTTGATTTGAAAAAAAAAAACTGAAAAATATTTAATATTTTTCCAACAATCTTATTTTTTATCTTTATTCTATTTACCCAGATACCAGAAATTTTATGATTAAAAAAAACAAAACCTGGAAAAAAAAGTTCTACCTGAAATCCCCCCTTTAAATTTGACCCAACCTCCAGCCACTAGAGGGCAGCACATAACTCTGTTTTCAAATAGTTGGAAGAAATAAAAATCTCAATTTGAATAGTCAGGCACATTAATTGTAAATCAATCAAATGGTCTTAAAATAATTTATATTTATTATAATACTATATATTTTATTTTGCTTATTTACACGTTAGTATCTGCTGCTAGCTTACAGCTTTTTCTTGGAAAGACGATGTAATGCTCACCTCTTTGTCCATTTGTCCCGCGGGTCGTTGTAGACCTCTCCTGATCCTACAACTCCTGTCGAGTTTCCAGTGTGCGAGTTAAACCCTGTTGATGTTCGGGCGCCACGCAGCAGGACACAAACAAAGCAGCACAACATGAGTCAGCATTCAGGGAGCAACTGAAGCTATCTGAGGCGGAGGCTGCTGGGTGATGGCTGAGAGAGACTCTGATTATTTTTATTTTAAAAAACCTCTGAGCTGAGACCCAGCAGCCTCTCCATACAGTCTCTATTTTGTTATTTTTTCCCACAGACCGGTTTGAGCAGAAAGAAGAGCAGCGTTGAGAAGCGTTACCGCAGAAACATTCAGATCTCTCCAGGCAGGAAGAGGAGCAGTTAGAGCGCCGATCCAAAGCAGGAAACGGTCTGTGGAAGCGTGGGCCGGGATCTGAGGTCGTGGTCACCCTTATTGTGCAGCTGGTGACCCCGACCCAACCCCGCTCAGGAGCTCGGCTCATGTGTCCCTGTGTCTCAGTAACGACCGCCGCGATGGTTTCACTTTTAATTGGGAAAAACACCAAAACCAACCATTTCACAGAATAAGTTTTGTTTTTTAAAAGTCTAAAACCACAAACTGAAAGGTTCTTTAGGCGTCTAATTAAAATCGGATTTCTTTTCTCTACCTCAGAAGATGACGATGAGCGCAACTTCCTTCTTCACAAAATGTAAACAACAACGGAGTGGCGTCAGATTTCAGCAGTTGTAGGATTTCTCTTTTGAGCCATTTCTTCCGCTAGTGCTAAACTCGCGCTTGTTTTGGTTGTATTTACCAGAATGCCCTGCGCTGTAGTCCACTTCCTGTTTTTGTTGCAGTCTCTGATTCACTTGTCGTTCACAAATGCATTTGAACCGCACCAGAGTTCACTTCAACTGAACAAAGACCTCCCAAACGAACTGCCAGGCAAACAAACAAGAGTTCTATTAAAATGAACTGAACCTAAAAGAGAGTCAGCATTTGACAGACATTTCACCTCGAGTCTTTTGAAGCAGCGGTTCTGCTGGACCTCACTCAGATTCGGGCTGTTTTCGTGAGGATTCTGCACCGTACGCGTTCACAAACTACACTGAAAGAACATCCCTGCTTCCTTTTCTGGATCTCCGTCCAGTTTCACAACAAAAGGTTCAGTATAAGAGTGAAACCCACATTGTTGGTTTTGGTCTTTTTTATGACAACTGGAAAAACAGTGAAATATGCCAACGACTTCCTCTTTAAAGAACAAAAAATGTTGGGATTTTCCAGCTGAAACAACATTTAGTTTCACCGCTTCAACCTGAGAGCAGGAAGCTTTCAGAGAAGCAACGGATGAATCTTTAATGGCTCCAGTTTTTACTCCAGAAGCAGAGGTACTCCTGGTAAAGATGTGGACATTTCCTCAAAGGAAACTCAACTTTAATTGGAATAGTAAGGTTCCCTAAACATTTCATGAACCATTTCTGTTTTGATTTGACCAAATGTTTTATCCTCTTTAAAGACCCAATTCTAGTTTGAGGCAACCTGATTTTTATGAAAATGCTGATCCATAGCAAAGTCCTTCAAGATGTTTACGCGTTTCATGGATGGAAGGAAGCGTTTGACCTTGATACGATGGCTTCCTGTGTGACCAATGAAAGATTGGTCAACGATGGGGGCATTAAATCCGACTTGTCTTTGGTTAGAGTTGGATTACCCCAGTGTTGGCCCTAGTCATCGATTCTGCTCATGACAGTGCAAAGGTGCTGAAGGATCTGTTTTGGTGATCTCCACTTTTCTACTGAGACGTATGAGAATCAGCACCTCCAAGTCCGAGGTCATGGTCTTGTGCCAGAAAAGGATGTAGCGTGTTCTCCAGATTGGGGACAAGGTCATGGCCCAGATGGAGAAGTTCAAGTATCTCAGTCTTCTTTACAAAAGAGGAAAAAAAAATACATTGATAGGCAGATTGTTACAGTGACGATACCAATCAATCTACGTTCAATAAACTCAACTATGGTCACAACCTTTGGGTAGTGACCAAAAGAACAAGATACAAGCGACTGAAATGAGTTTCCTCTGCAGGGCGTCTGGTCTCGCCCCTAAAGGCTCTGCAAGCTAAACTGTCTAAATCACTAAACGGAAGCAGGATAAACTTTCATCCTCATCCGGTCGTATTTGTAGTTTTAATAAACAAACCAACTGGAGATATGGGTAAGTTTAGGCGACTTTCTTTTGCCATTTTTTGACTATATCCGCGCTATATTCTCATTTCCACAAGACAAAAAAGATAAAAAATAGAAAAATCAATAAAGTATGTTTAATTTATAGAGCAGTGGTGCCCAAACTTTTTGCCAAAACTAGCAAATCTAAACTACCAGGCACAAAATTTATTAAATTCATCCAATTTTTTCTGAACTCTGAACATCATTAAAGAGGCTTCAGACTGTTGCCTTATTAAAAGAAAAACAGACAATTTCCAATGTTTTTGGTTGTTTTCTATTTTGTTGGACAATTTTTTACCATGTTTGACTTGGTAAGGGGCCAAACTAAATCATCTGAAGGACCAAAAACGGCCCCTGGGCCACATCTTGAGCACCCCTGTTAGAGGATTATTGTTGATAATCTTGTGAACAAACAAACTAAAACTTACTCTAAATAAATATTCAGTGCACAAAGTCTTTTCTCACATCTTTACCAGGGCTGCAAATAAATGCAGATGTCGTTTTGTGCTGGACTTTAACTCTACATGTTGGGTTTGTGCTCCAAGGCAATAAAAACGGGGGCCGTTTGGGACAGTTTCCATACAGACACAGCGACAAATGGTGAACCCAAACACATTCATCCAGCTGGCAGCTCCTCAGCTCCATCCCCCTCCCAAAAAACGAGCCCTCACATTCCTCTGCTGAGCCAAAACAGATGAAAATTACTCTGTGGAATCCGACCTCTTGTTGTTTTTTTCCCCATTTTATTAAAGTCACAGTCGAGCTTTCGGAGATGCCAGCTCAGTAAAACAAATACTTTTTTTTTTTTTGCATTCAGTCCAGCAGGAAAAAGCCGGAGGCTCAGGTGTTGATAAACCACCTGAACCTGCAGCAAAGTCCTCTGGGAGTTGTAGTCAGGTTTTAATGAAGCTGCAGCGACAAAAGCGACAGTTGAAAAGGAAGGACAGCAAAAATCAGCTGAAACTGAAAAAGTAGTTTTGGGGGGAGCAAATTAACTAGAAAAGAAACGAAAAGAAGAAGAAAGCTTAGCAGAGTCAGTAAAAAGCAATAGACATCAAGCCAGTGACTGAGGTGAGCTGCTGGCAGCCAGCGTGCAGCGCCGTGCTGTGATTGGTTTGTGAAGCATGCAGATTTGATTCGCTGGGCGGGGGAGGGGTGGTGCTGGGGGCAGGGAGGTGTGGGGTGGGGGCATTAGTGAGATGATTTTGCTTAATGAGTGCAACATGAAGTGTGTCTGAGGTCTCAGGTGTGTGATGGGGAGGATCGAGGTGCAGGCGGGAACCGAATCAGGACCTCAGGAATGGATTCAGATGCATTTAATTCTGCGTTTGTCTGAGCGTGTCGAGAGATTTTCCTTCAGCTCAACACTTTCTGAAATTTAAGTGTCGCATATAAAGCTGCGACATGATATAGTAGATCCAAATGTACAACAAAAAAGAGAATTAAACAGTTTTTTTTATGTTGTGAAGTACACTGAAAAAACTAAATCTGACCGAGGATTTTTATCTGCAAACTATCAAAGTACAACTGAAACAAGAAAACCTTAACTCAAGATATAAACGTTTGTTTCAAATCAATAATTCCTGAATATTGATGAAAAAGTACTAGTTATAACTAGACAGAGACATTTGAACTTATAACATGGGAAAATGTATTGAATAAACCAAAACAGCAGCCATTTCGTTTAACAGTCGTCAAGTTGAAATGCTAAACAATCTCAGACAAAGGCAAGTTTTCACTGCTGCTGCGTTTATATGAAGTCATTTTATTTACTGAGTTAGAGATGGGTGTGAAAAGCCAAATCTCCTTCCCTTTAAAGCAAACATCGCTAAGCAGAGCCTACAGGCAGGAAGTGGAGGCGACTCCTCCATCCCTATTCCCAAGAAGCAACCAACCAGACAGAAAGGAGGCGGCGAGCGACAACACCAACAGTACTATGATTGGCCTCAATCGTCTGTACCAAACGAGGTGGCGTGATTATCGATTGCTTTTTTTTCTGTTTGAAGAAGGGGGGCGATTGGAGGAAGATGAGGAGAGGGAGTGGGAAAAAAAATTACCAAGAAGGAAGGAAGGTGTTCAAACTGGGGCTGCAGCTAATGATTATTTTAATAACCAGTTTTCTGATCGATTATTCTGACGATTAATCGAATTTAAAAAACTGGACCATTCTGCAGATTTTTTATTTAACTACTTTAGGATATTTCATACAATATTAGAAATGCCTAGAAATGTTAATGCCTAAAACGGAATAACACAGAATTCCTTTAATAAATGTCTGATGGTTATCTTTCGGATTAGCGATCAATAACTGGACAGCAAAACAGGCTTTTTATAGAATTTGAAGCTAAAACTACAGATAGAAGTTTTTTTATCTTAAATGCAAAATAGATAAATTTTTGGCCAGTTTTGGGTTATTTAGTGCTTCATTTCAGTAATCGCTTCACAATTAGTTCTTTCAGCCTTAATATGTTTTTTGTACAATTTTGACTTGATTACTCTTCAGAGAATTATATATTTTTAGCAATTGGCCTTTATTAAATGTATAATCCAATTAATCGCTTACTAAATTAGTTGACGATTATTTCAGTGATTGATTAATCATGATTAATCATTTCAGCCCTAATATGTTTTTTTGGCTAATTGCTCCTCTGAGAATGACGATCTTCCTGAAATTGGTCTTTTTTTCAGTCTGTATTCTCCAATTAGCGATTAATCGATTACTAAATTAGTTGATTATTTCAGTAATCGATTAATCGATTCAGCCCTAGTTCAAACACAAAACAAACAATCTAATTGGCTTAAGGAGAGACGAAGGGATTCCCACAAACAAAAGTAAATTAAAGTGAACGATGAAACGGTGGACAAAATCTAGACAAACACGTAAAAGAGGGAAAATCTAAGAGCTGAAAACCCTGAAGGGTAGGAAATGACAGATGAGTGGATGGAGGGAGGTCTGGGAGTTTAGAGGCGCCTGGCTCCTCGCTCCGGCTCTACCTTTATAGCTTCCTGGTGGGGGGACGGAGCTGGGTTTGGCAGGAAGGGGGGGGGCTGTACTGTTGGAGTTGTTGGCTGGCGGTTGGAACGAGCCAGACAGGAAGATGCCATCAGAAAGAGGGCGGGGCTTGCGCGCAGTGGGCGGCGGCTGAGGCCGGCTCTGAGTGGGCGCGGCGGAGGCCGGGAGGTCGCCGTACGACTTCCTGGTCGCCGACAGCTTGGCCTGACCTGATTGGCCGCCGCTCCCTGCCGAGTAGGCTTCCTCCTCGTCTTCGTCGTCGCCCGCGTACGAGACGAATTTGGCTGTGTAGAGCGTGTCGGGCGAGATGACCTGTGTTTTGAGGTAGGAGGTGTTTCTCTGTGGTGGGGGCGGGGGGGTGTTAGTAGGGTTGTGGGGGGCGGGGGGGTTGTAATCCCGAGGCAGCGGGGGCCGATACAGACCGGCCGGCTCATCGGGCGTCAGCAGCTTTCTCTCTGCCTCCTCGTGCTGCCGCCGCCGCTCGGCCTCCAGACGGGCGTAGTACTCCTCCTCCTGTCTCCTCTGGGGGAGGGATAACCTGTTAGTAAGCTCCGCTCTGATTGGCTGCCACCAACACTGGATGCTAACACGCTAATTAGCTAGAAACACAGCTAGAAGCTATTCAACAAGCAACCACCCACCTCTCTGTGACTCGCTTTGACAAACTAACCCTAACCTGACTCGCGTCTGGAAACGCCGCACAACCGACGGTCCAACATCGACGGCCTCAGCTGGGACATTTTATTAAAAACTACGCGAGTTTTTCACCAAAGTTTTAGCTAGTCAAATTTAAGACTGTTTAATGCCGTGTTGAATGAAATTTAAGACAAAAAACTAAATATAAAGTATTGATGGAGGTAAAAAGCAAAAACTGAAATCTTAGGGGTGAATTTGTGGCTCTTGTATTTTTTTTAAGTATATTTGCAATGCAAGAACAAAATCTTACAAAATATTTCTGGTATAGTTTCTAGTGTAAATATCTTCGCACACTTGAAATAAGAAACGTAAGAGTAGCTTTTAAGCAAGAAATAGGGGTTTGTTTTAAGTAAATAATTCCTTAATATTGATGAAAAAGTACTTGTCTCATTTCAGGAGTACCAACATGTTTGCACTATAAACTAGGCCAAAAATACTTTGTAAGATTTTGTGTTTTTGCAGTGTGGGTAATTTTAGCAATTCAGTTAAAGTTAGAATAGCAGCTAATGCTAGTTGTTGTTTGCTAACATGTTTTTGGAAGCAGCTTACCGAATGCTAGCAGTTAAGCAAATGCTAACATTTCACCTCACTGTAGCTTTGAAGCTACTGTTCCCTTGTAGTAGCCTTTTTGCTAATTATAGCATATTGATGAAAAATATGTAACTGCAGGTTTGCTACTGATAGCAATATGCTAATGCTAGGGTTTCTGGGAATGTTGGCAGCTTCTAAGTAAAAGTCTTGATTTTTCATGGTTTATTGCTTAAAAAAACAGGTTCTTAAAACATGATGGATCTGAAAACAAACAGGATCTAATCAACAACGGAAACTGACTGGACAGAATGTGGCTCTAACTTTGTCAAGAAACTGATTTATTTTCAAATATATATACATCAAATATATATACATATCTATTTGTGTAATTTATTGGACAATTCCCTGAGTTCATCTTTCGTTTCAACTATTTAAAGGGAGTAAATGTGAGGAAAATCTCCCCAATGAGGCCCCCGAGTTGGACCTACAGTCGACCCTGACCATCAGTTACATCTAAGAAAAGTCCTGAAACTTGATAAAAATGTTTGGATAAAAGGTTCTGATCCAACTCCTACCAGACCCACCGGGTCGTTCCCTCCCTCTCTGTATCTTTGCTTTGTTCGATCAGGCTATATTGTAGCGGATCTCAGTTTACATTATGAGGTTTTGTGGCTTTTTCTTCCAGCTTCCAGGCCACCCTGACTCCTAGCATCTCGACTTCAGAGGACGAAGCTACGCTGGTGGGGGAGAGATTTGGATTTCAGGGTCTGCTCCGGGTCTGATGTGAGATTATCTTCAGTCTCATGTGGCGAGGGTCGGATCCGATCTGCCTGGACAGTTCGGCCTGAAGAACCTGGGAGGGATTAGCGGCTGTGTGGGCTCCGGGTTTATGAATATGTTTGGCACGGATGAGAGAGGCGATATTAGCTTCTCTAATGTGTGTGGGGTGAATGATTTGGGGGAAATGTTTGGGTGGAGAGTGGGCTGCATTCCCTAAACACACGTTTGGATGCTGGATGGAATGGGAATTAAAAAAAATACTAACAAAATTAAAAACTCAGCTCTCCCCCTAAGAAAACTGAAACAACTGCACCTTCCTGACAACAACATGATGGGGAAACTCATGCTTTCTGGTGGGTGGGAGCACAAAACATGACACAGCAAAACGTCACAGAGGGTGGGAATGCTCAGGATGACAGCATGCAACGGGACAACATTACATTTAATAAACAGCATTAAAAAAATACAAAATAAATGAGATTTCTACCAGAAAATGATGCTTTTAAATAACCAGTGGTCTCATCACGGTGAAACAACAAAACATGGACGACATTTGTTACAACAAGCAGCACAAATCTGCACGATGGTATGAAACGAAACCGCTGGTTATTCAAAAACAAAAATATCTCATCAACTTAAAAGAAAAAAGGTTGATTATATGATTGCTGCACACTTTATGCAAAAAAATCTAATTTATGTAAAAAAAACCACTTAAAAATATTGAACAGAATAAGGAAAAAACCTAAAATATTTCTGAAAATAAACATTTCAAGTATTTAAATAAGTGTGCATAAGTTGAGGATGTTTGAAACTCCAAGAATTAGACCAATGCCTTTAAATCATACCCAGTTTATCATAAATGTGATGAAGATTTAAACAAACTGAGCGTCAGCAGCTGCAGTGCCTTCACAATCAGCTGTCCAATATGAGCAGCGTACGGCAAGCCATCTTACCATTTAAAAAGAACAAAACTGATCTCTATTTCCCATTTAAATTACGTGAATAATTAAAAGATTTTGGAAATGTACTTTTTGACATTTGAATGCATTTTTTAATGTAATAAAAATGACTATCAAGCAGATAAACCTAAGTCATATAAAAATAGAGCATAAACAAGCAGATTCTGGCTTCTTATGTCAGCATAATTGTTGTGAAAGAGAATGTAATACTGGTGAAATGTGGTTTGTTGCTAATGCATTTTAAAGCTACTTAGTTTTCCTGCATTTATATTAAACTGATTTAATTAAATTTCATCAAACTCGAATTAGCAATTTGAAACCTTGTAATACTTCTACCTTAGCTCGTAGCTTGGAAACGTCATAAATGTTAGTGACTCGTGTTTCAGCTGCTTTCTGCTGAGTTCTCAGAGCAGCTTAGATTAAATACCTTCTTAAAAACAGGATTTACATTAACGCCACCATATTGGTCTAATCCCAGGAATTTCAGAGAAAAATCTTAAAGTTTTAAACGTCCGCCATCTTTAAACGAACATTTTCTAAGACAGACGAACCGACCTTTTCCTCTGCCTCTCTCTTGACTCTCTCCTCCTCCCTCCATCTCCTCTCTTCCTCCTGCTTCACCCGCTCCTCCGCCTCCCTCTTCCGAATCTCCTCCAGCTGCTGCTTGCGCCGCCGCTCCTCGTCCTGCAACTGGTTTTTCACACACAGACACACACACAAACACCACGCCATAAGGCAAACATGCAGACAGGGAAATAATTAGAACAGCAACAACCACCGAGTTCCAATCAAGCAATCTGAGATTATTTAATCTCGACTTTCTGGACGCTAACTTGAAGTAGCATGTTACATAATGTCTCAATCTGCTGCTCCAGCACAGCAAAAACACAGAAACGCACACGTCCGACCATGCAGACACCAACATGCAGCAGCAGCAGCAGCAGCAACCAAAACAAAGCAGCAGCAGTAAAGCTCCAACCTTCAGGACTTCAATATGCAGCATTTATCTCAGAGAGCTGCAGAAATGCAGTTAAACCAGTAAAAACATGACAAACAGACCCGTTTCTTTTGGCTGGATGGTGGTTAAAGGGTCAGTTCAACCAAACTATAAATAGAGGAAACTTTCTTGCATCATGTGGAAAAGACAATAAAGTGAACAAAGAAATGTTTAGTGAACTAACATCAATTTAAAAAACTGCAGATTTTTGCACATCATGAATATCCTACTAAATAGCTTGCTCTGATTGGTCAGCTGTAAGCCCCGCCCACCAAGCTGTACCTGCTGCAAACAAATTTACTGGAAGTTTATTTTAATCGTCACAAAAACAGTGCAACACTTTGAGAAATCTAAAGATCTAATGGGAGTTTTAACTCAGAGGTTTGGTGTTAAGTATTTGTGTTAAGAATGATATTAACATTTTAATTCTCTTCATTTTTAAGCTTTTTAAAATATGGAAAAAAATAAATACATTTATATCAATTTTTATTACATTTCTATTTAGTATGACTTGAATTTTCTTAAAAATGGCAAAAATGCAACAAATATATTCAAACAATAAAAAGGAAATAAAAAAATATAAAAAATGTGAAAAATAAAACCGTATAAAAACTAAAATTACATTTTATTCAGAATTTGCTTCGGTTCTCCATTTTTAAGCAAAATACAACATCTTTATTGCAATGCTTGTTACATTTTGATTTAATAATTTTATTAAAGTATTTATTAAAAACGCATCAAATGTGTAATCTACAAAATAAACGTAAAATAAAATGTATTAAAAAATAGAACTATAAAAAATATACTTAAGCTTTATTTATAAATTGCTTTTTTTAAATTCTGTTCTATTTTTAATGTTTATTGAATATAAAGCTATACAGAATAAATTTGTGTTATTGCTTCTTACATTTCTATATATTATAAATTGTATTTTATTAAAGAAACTTTGCAAAAAGGAAAAAAAAGAAAAATATAAATGGGAAACTTTTTTTAAAAATGCAAAAAATTTGAAAATTCTATTAACTCACCATAAAACTAAATAAAAATATAGAAAAGAAAAGAAAATGAAACTTTTACAAAACTTTTTTTATAGTTTAATAACTTTCACTATTCTCTGTATTAATCCTGATTATCTTTCCTGTTTATGTGGTGGAAAACGAGCGTCCAGGCAGACGCCTCTCTCAGCCCCCTGCAGGTTTTTGTTAGTAAAACATGAATTAATTAAATTTGACCCCGTGGTTGAACAGACCCTTAGATAAAACGCTCAGCCAGTCGTGCACAAACAGATGGATGAACAAAAAGATGGAGAGATGGATTCAGGGACGGCACAACGACATGATCCTCATGCATGGGTCTCCATCGGGTGAATCCAGCCATGCAGCTTCTCCCTCCATATTCACTCAAAACAAACATCACCAGCAGCTTCTAGGCCTTTTTTAAACCCCAAACTTCCCCCGATTTTTCCCTCGTTTTTGATGTTTTGAGTGGACAAAGAGACGGAGCGCTTTGACATCAAACATCCCAGAACCGGCTGCTCTTTAGCCCCCCAATCACTCAAGCTAACCCCAAAGAAACAGCAGCTGTGGATATTAAAATATGTGAGGGGAGACAGAAAGGAAACGAGGGCAGGTGGGCAGCCGAGACAGAAAACAAGGAGTGATGCGAGGGCAGGGACAGGAAACGCGCCATTAACAGGAAGAACATACCAAGTCTAGAACAGAGATAGCTGGGACAGCAGTCTGCTGCTGCAGAAGAAGAAGAGAACCAAGAGTAAGAGAGGGAGGGCGGGCAGAAAGAAAGAAAGAAAAGGAGGGAGGGAAAATTCCAAAATACTGAGAAAAACGTGGAGGAGTGGAGGAGATTTTATAAATTTAATAAAAAAGGAGGAGAGGAGGTGGAAACGGAGGAGCAAAATATGTAAGCAGGAGGAAGGGGAGGACATACAGTAAAGTGAAAACATTACTGAAGCTCGTTTATTAGTGGCCATGGACTGGAAAGATGTTAATTACCTAAACATAATTATATTCCTATTTAGAGACTCAAGATGGAGAATTTTTTTATACATTATAAAATTCAAAAACATTAATCACATTTCTCCCTGCCAATTACTCACCTGGCTAATTAAGGGTTAAATAAAACAATAAAAATTGTACAAATTATTCATTTGGGATGGAAATAATTTTCATAATTTTGGTTTTTCTTCACATTCTGACAATTTGGCGTCACGGCTTTGAAGGAGCTGCATTCAAAAATCTATTTAAAAAACATTTTGGGGGTTTAAATATCTATTTATCTAGTTCTTTAGTTGAAGATCAAAAGGCATTTAAGAATTTTTCTTTTTGTATATAAAAATATATCAAGTTTACATTTGCTTCCTCTTGTGCATCTTCTATTTGCACAAAAAGTCAATTTATACAGAAAAAACTCTAATACAAGTCAAACTTTAAAAAAAAACATTCTTAACTGAATACTATTTCCTATCACTATTTTCTATACTGGACATTTGACTTGTACTCTAAACACAGTAACACAGCGAAGGTTTAGAAAAGAGAAATAAACGAATAAAAAAGGAACATTCATAATAAGTTTGAACCATTTCAGGATTTTACTGTTTATTTTACAAGAGCTGAGGCAGTATGCATAAACAGTGTGTGGAAAAACAAATATTTCTGAATCTCATTGAAGCAGGGAAGAAGCAGCTGATCCGAGGCATTGATTAACTAATCAATAAGTTTGAACGCCTCCGTAAAAGTTAAAATTTATCGACAGGTCAATACGTTAGCTTGTTTTTAGGAAGAAAGTAATTTTTCCCAAAAATTGGTGTTTGCAACTGAATTAACCAAACAAAATCTGGACCAATTTCTAATTGCTGAACAGTCAAACACGGCGTTGAAGGTATGGTGATGTGGGCTGAAGTTAGTCAACCATAAACATGTGAGGTAATCCATCTTCAAATACAATTCAGAAACATTTTAATTAGCCCAAAGGGGAATAAAATGTTATGGTATCTCAAAGAGTCAGAGTAAATCTCCTGTAGCAGTCAGTGCTGCAACAAATCTGAAGAAGCCTCTGACTGAAGACTGCATTACGACTGTAACAACATGCTAACAGCTCATTGTCCAGGTTTCAGGGACGACGTTTAAAAGTAAAATGTCCTGGATGACATCAAGCAATGCTAATCTACCTCATTTGCTGTTGCCACATCTTTTTTAAGTCTCTGTCAGGCCGTTTGGTTGGAAAGCCAGGCAGAAACAAACAAACAAAAAAAACTAAAATAGGAGGAAAAATAAAGAAAAAAGAGATGCTAAAGTAGGGGATATAATCGATGTAGAAGATTGTTTCACTTTTCTGGGATTTGGGGTCATAGTTCAGGTATCGTTTGCTTTACAAATGTGTATAAATACCTTGTTGCCGTGGTTACGCACCACAACTGTCTGAAAGTTAAACACTAAAAACAAGTTGACCCTGAACCCAAAACTGGTTCATCAACAACTCTACAACAGAAATGGATGTTAATGGCCCAGTCAAAGTCCAGATTTCAACCTTCTTAAATAATATCCACAACTGATCTGAAGAATGTAGAGAAAAATTAATCCAAATAAGACGAGAGAGATATAGATCATCTTTCCACACACTGTTCCTGCATTTCATCTTTAGCTTTCAGTTTAATTTGGTTAAAACTGGATCAAACTTTCTCTATCAGATCCCTGCTGCTGTTGGGTGCGAGGAAGCCGATTAGCAGAACCGTTGCCCTCCTTCCTGCCCATACCCGGCCATCCACCCTTCCAGCCAATCAGATTTAAGCAGTGCAGCATGGCGAAGCGATGACAGAAGCATGTTGCAGATGCACACTGCGCGACATTCACGGCGGAGGAACCGGTTTCCTCCTCTAGCGACTGAAAAGGCGGTTCTGTTTTTCTCCCCATCAGCCTAATTTTCCCGCGACTCGCCCTTCCTCGAGCCGGAGCTGCGGATTTGTTTCTGGACTCTGAGCTGATGGGTAAGGCGGCTTGAAAAAAACAGAAGTCAGGTTTAATACTGCCAGAAAGCCTGCGCACATGACAGAGTGGGACCTCTTCCTCCAAGACAAAATCCTGCTTTCCGCCATTTTAAAACATGGCGACCGACCGACTGTTCCTCTGTCCGTCCTTACCCTGGCTCTCTTCTCGGCCTCCAGCCTCTGCATGATCAGCATGGCGTCCATGTCCTCATCGTCCTCCTCCTCCTCGTCATCGTCGCTCTGTTTGGACTCCTGCAGCCGCTTCTGGAACTGCCACTCCAGCATCAGCTTCCGGAGGCGGTCGCTTTCTTCCGCCGTTCGCTCCGGTTTCGCCTGAGAAATGGCAAGAATGTGAAACGAGAACCTTTGAAGTGGGGAAAAAACTCCAAGCTGGATAAACTTGAGTGCTTAATGGATTCTAAGGTTTTATTGAACAGATTATGACGAGTTTAGGGTTCATACAAAACATGTTCATTACATTTCTTTGCTCAAAATCATTCTTAGATAATCAGATTTTTGTCTGCTCTTTAAATCCAAATAAGATGCTGCTGGCCACGCCCCCAAAACTAAACATTACTCTCACACGTGAAAATGGCTGCAAACAAATGTGGAGTTGCACAACTGTACATCTTTGAAAAGCAGAAGTGGAGCCTCCTGTACAACCAACAAGAATGCAGTAAGTGGTTTCTGGATGGTAAGTCAACAGCAAAACACTCGTCTTTTCCAGCAGCCATTGTACAGTGGGTAAAACCAGCTGACCAAATGTGCTGGAACTCAGCTTAGGTTGCTAGGTAACAGGCAGAACTTTGCTGGGGTTGCTAGGTAACAGTGTAGTGCCCTGGAATGTGACTTAAACATAAATTTAAGACTTTTTAAGTAAAAGACACAATAATTGATGCAACATTGGTTTCTGAATTATTTTTATTAATGTTAAAAATGTTTACTGGAATATTCTGAGTTGCTTGTTTATTTTCATCTATTAAAATCACTTCGATGGATAAAAACCAACAAGTGAGACAGGAAAATATTATTTTTTGATTTAGCTAAACACAGTAACTGTTGTCCAATAATTCTCCTGTATTATTTTTAAAACATTTTAGGTTAACAGAGAGCGCTGCAGTTGGTGATTAACAATAATCATCATAAATCATATCTTTTTACCTGGAGCTCCTGGATTTCTTTGTCCAGCAGATCCACGATGTGGAGCTGCTGCTGCTTCTCGGCCTTCTCGCGGGCGTCTCTCTTCCAGGGATCCGGAGACAGGCTGTCGCTGGTGGACAGCTCCTCCTTGCTGATGGTGATGTACTGCAGGTCACGCCGCTCGATGGTCCGCGGCTGCTGCTGAGGAAGCAGCTCCCTGATCACCGTGTCCATGGCTGCAAACGTCCAACAAAATGATTCGCTTTACAGATACAAATCTGAAAACTTGTGGCCAAACGTGCAACTTTTCCCTTTAACAATGGGAATCAATTCAGAAAACAAGGAAGGGTTTTTAAAGATTCCATTTTTCAAAAATGGGCTCCTTCAGTTCCACCCGCCGCCATCTTGTTTTACAGCTTCTATTAATTTGGACTTTGAATTTAAATCAACTCTACAACAAAATATTAGGGCCAAACTACAACTTTGATTTTTGATGAGGAACAAGAATATGGTCATAAACAAACTTCCAGAAAACTGCAAAACAGCTGAAACACTGAGTCAGTTTAGAGCTGCTTTCAATAAAACACAGACCAACATATTAGAGGTGAATGATTTTAGTGACTCATCTAAACGTAATGTTTGTTACACACTGAGAAAAAGAGTCAAATTAATTTTAAAAAATGTTGGTGGGCCTAATTCTCTTCTGTACATTGTTGTGGTAAAAATGTGTCTTTGTGCTGATATTATGACTTTATAATCATAATAATTTATCATATTCTGGCCCTAAAGCTCATAGGAGGGATTATTAAATAAAAATAAAAAAAAACTTCTTGAAAATATTTTCTGAAATTTTGTTTCTGAAATTTTTCAGAAACAACAAAGTAAGAAAAAAATATATATATTAAAACTGGATCTGGTATGAAAAAAAAGAGCTGATTTTATTTTTATCGTCCTAAAACAAGGAGATAATTTTACCGGCAGAGTTGGCGGCGGCGGGCGGCGGCACGGCGGACCGCGGCAGGCTGGACAGCTTCTCCGGTCTGGAAGGCAGCGGCTGCGGCTGGGGGGCGTGGTAAGGCTGGGGCGGCGCCATGGAGGCCATGGGCGGCTGGTGGTGAGGAGGCGGCATGGCTCCACCGTTGTTATGGGGCTGGACGGGCATGACCGGGTTGGCCCGGATCTGACCCAGCTTCCTCTCCTGCTCCCTCCTCTTCCTCTCTCTGGTAAAAACAATAATAATAATTGCATCTATAAAATACCAACAACAACCTGCTAAACAGGTGCTCAGCAAAGGTAAATTTTTTTTCTTGTAAATTTTATATAAGAAAACAGCATCACTTTAGAATTTGATCATGATTAATCTGGTTAATTGATTCATCCGATTAATCGTTTCAGCTCTAGATTCCTCGACCAGCTCTGGTCTGAACTCCTTCCAGGTGAACCAAACCCACCTTTCCTCCTCCAGCCGGGCTTTCTCCTTCTCATACCAGCGCTGCTGCTCCTCCCGTTTCTTGCGGTCGGCGGCCTGCTGGGCCGACACCGGGCTGATGGTGGTGGGCGGCGGCGGCGGCAGCTCCGGCTGCGGGTCGTAGGGGTCGGGGTAGACGGCAGGCGGCGGCGGAGGAGGCGGCGGCAGGTCGGAGCGGGACGGCGGCTGGACCGAGTGCGGCGGCACGATGTGGGGCGTGTTGGGCGTCTTCCACCGGCCCGGCCCGGTCTTCTGGTTCTGGCCCTTGTTTGAGGACGTGGAGGAAGCAGAGAAGTTGAGCTGCTCCTGGCTGGACGTCGAGGACTCCAGCGAAGAGGAAACCTGCGGCTGCGGCGTCCAGTGGTCCAGCGGGGCTCCCACACCTGGAGACAAACAATAAAACATTGTTTAAAGTGTTTATACTAGATGGACCTTCACTGACCTTCATGTCCACAAGTCACCAAGATCAGAGGTGGTGAGACATGGTAAGCTGAAACGATTAATCGGGTTAATTGTGATTAATCAATTATTGACATAAACCTCAACTAACCTGGGAATTGATTAATCGTTAACTGGATTAATCGTCAAATATTTTAGTAAAAAGTTAATCATTAACCGGACTTCAATAGAGGCCATTTGCAGAAAAAGAACACAGTCAGAGCAGTGATTTAGCAAAAACTAAAACAAATTATATAATTAAGTTAAATTAAAACATAATGGTTGGAAGCATTGTAGCTGCAAATGCATTTTTTCCTGCAAATGATCAATCATTCCCTAAAAAATGCAGTGTTATTTCATTTTAGGCATTACAATTTTTATTTTCTTAATTTAAAAAGGAAATAGATTGTTTATTTGCATTTTTATGTATTTCTAATAAATATTGTTTAAAATTGGATCAAGTGGTTCAATAAAAAATATGCAGAAGGTTTAAATTTTTATACGATTAATCGTCTGAATAATTGATTACTAAAATAATAATTAGCTGCATCCCTATAACTATTATAGTTAACATATTTCCAAATGCCCTGAACGATTTCTGCAGTAAAAATGATTTATTAAGGGCAGTTTGATACTTAATCTTGACTTCTACGTCTCAATCTGAGTTTTAATTTCATATTTAAAAAAATAAAGGTGAACTAAATTAAAAGTGTCCTCCATCTACAGAGAAGCAAACTGCTTTGGCAAAATAATTTTCCTTCACAAAATAGGAATAAAGTGAACATGTTTTACGATATTCACATGTTTCTTTATTTACTCAATAGTAAAATAAGTAGATTTTATAGATCTGAGGTTATTTCATCCTGTGGTTGTTTTGTGAATGATTATGAGCAGTGAAATATTTTTACTTCATTTTCTTTTGCTGTTTTTGTGCCATCAGGAGTGTCCATGGCTCAGGTTTCGCTCTCCTACCTCCTGGCAGACCTCGGTGCTGGTAGTCCAGATCCCGGTGCTGGTAGTCCTGCGGGTAGAGCGGCTGCATCCGCTCATCCGGCCTCATCATTCCCACCGGAGGGTATAGATCTTCCTGGGAGTGATTAATCCTCTGCAGAGATAAAAACGTTAAAAAAAAAGACATCAGGAAACAAGAAAATCATTTACATCTAGAGAGGAAAGATGGGAGGACAAGCTAAATAAAATGACAGTAAATTAATGGACAATTCAGTCATTCAGGACTTTGAAGGATGGAAGTTTTGAATGGTGAACAAAACCAGTAACTTTTTTTCCATCTTTTATTAATATGTTCCAGCTTTTATTGGCATATAAATTATGCTCTTTATGGAAGAAGATTTGTTTTTATTTGAACCTTGGATCAGCCCTTAAAGTTTCAGAAACCTCACTCATATCAGACACAGAAAAATTTAATTAACTTTTAAAAAACATAAAAAAAGAAATGAGGAGCAAAAAAAAGCTTCAGAGAAACAAGAAAGCTGTGCCATGCCTGCATGCTGTTGCTGTGGATGTTGTCGACCACAGGGAGGCGCTCTCTGTCCTCCATGCCCTGCCAGTGCTGCGGGGGTCCCTGCCCCGGACCCACCACCCGGTCCTGGCTCTTGGAGGCCGGGATGGTGAAGTACTCTCTGGGGTAGGTCTGGGTGGGGATGGGGTAGGCCTCCGGCCGGGGCGGGGACGGCTCATCCTGAGGGGAAAGAGAGGGACAGCTAAAAACCCAGAAAACTTACAAAAACCAACAAGAAAATTCAGCTAAACACCCAGAAAACTTACAAAAACCAACAAAATTCAGCTAAACACCCAGGAAACTTTCCTAAGTTGAGACTGGAACCACATTTTTGTCCAACGTGTGTGAAATTTTACTAGTTGGTGCCACATTCCTCATTAAGCTGCGACAGGTTTGAATGCTGCAGGGCTGGTCCCTAAGCAGATTTTAATATGAGCCCCCCTTACCGACAGATGCTTCATAGTTCCTAGGCTGCTCTAAGTGTGTAACATACAAAAACATACAAAATCTTACCAAGTGTTATTGGTCTAGTTTCTACTACTTAAGACAAAATTAACAAATTCCTTAATATTGATGAAAAAGTACTAGATCCAATCCCGTTCCAATGCCTGATTATTTCACTTATAATGAAATAATATACATATGAAACAAGTACTTTTTTAAAATCATTATTTAAGAATTACTGACTGTAATAAGTCTTAGTTACTTGTAAGCTAGATTTGTCTTATTTCAAGGTTACTAAAGTATTTGCAGAATTAGAGCAAAAAAGATTTTGTGTTTTTGCACCTAGGATACAAAACACAAGTAAGTAATGTAAGTGAGCTTATACTGCACCATTGTACGTTTTACCCTTATGGAAGATGCAAACTAAAATATAAACATTTGCATTTTGATATGTAGAAACAGACAAACATTGAATTTACAATAAAGTTACAAGTTATTACAAGTGTGCCAACTATTTAAAACAATACAGAAGTAGTTTAATATGTGTAATAATTCAAAAATTAAATGCATCTTTTTGCTCTTGGGCTCCCCTGGTGGTGCGGGGCGTCTCTGCACTTACATCTGCACACAGGTTCCCGGTGGAAACGGAGGTGATCTTGGTTCCCGGTCCTCCAGGATAAACCGACTTGGTCGCAGGACTCTGGCCCTGATCTGATGGAGGGAAACAAAACGATGTCAAAACAAACTGTTCACTGTTTGTTTTTCCAAATGCAAACATTTCCAAAACATTCGCTGCCAAAATATTCCGCTGGTTTGTTTCTGTGTCCGGGTGGAGCAGCTGAAGAAAAACACCAGCAGAGGTTGGTAACACAGTTCCAGCCTAAAAATGTTTTCAATCCTACTAACCTGCAGAACAGATCTGGATCACAATAAAAAGGGTTTTTACACTTTTCAATAAAAGTAAACAAACATTTGATTGATCTTTATTCTAAAACTGTGCAGTTTGAATATCAGAAATCAAGGACTTTCCAAAGGATTTGAAGCACCTGTATGAACTGTGAAATACAGAAATGAGGAGATAAATGAGGTGATAATGAGTGATAAAGGTGATTAAAAGCAGGACTTACTGGCTACGTTGGGACTGGATCGGTGGTCGGCCCTGTTCTTCAGAAGCCGGTCCTCTCCGCTCATCTTCTTTGGTTCTGCGTACGAGTCCCAACCGGGCTGCGGACTCTCCGGATCGCCGTTCTGCACGGCGTTGTTGTAGAGTTCGAAGCCCTCGCTCTTCGGACGCATCTTCCCATTCTTATCGCGGCCGCGGTCCGACGCTGGGAGACGGGAAACGACGACGATCAGAACAAACATTCAGGAGCCAAAAATAATTCATTCAAAAACTCTTCTTAAAAAATAACTATAATTTAGACATTTTAAATTCAGAACACAAAGTTTTTATATATCAGTACTTGGGGTGAAACTCTGGAATGATTTAAGCATAAAACAGTTAAAATGACAGAAACACCGGCTCTCAAGGCCTGGAGTTTGACCTTTGACCCCAGAGTGACTCAGCAAAACTGAACGGTTAAAGATGCGTCTCCCTTTGTGTGTTACAGGAGAACACAAAGTGACGTCCAGCTGGGAAAAGAGAGAATTACTCATGTTTGAACTTTCAGTACTATTGAATGTAGAATAGAAGATCTTTGAGACCAGCCACTCTGTTTCATTTTGCTGTGTGGTTGATGGGAGTTTGGGAGAAAAGAAGATTTCCTTAATGAATCTCGGGTCAAATTCCAGCAGACAAAGAGCAACAGAGAGCCAGACAACCCTTTAACCTCCACTACACCGTGTGTGTGTGTGTGTGTGTGTGTGTGTGTGTGTGTGTAGCTTTTCATGGACACACACGGCCCAACTGTGCTGCACAACAAAGACACCCTGTGTGGACATCCGCCCATCTCTTTGGTTGGTATCAACATTTAAATGGATTTTTATGAACAATTGACAATTAAAATTTTTAAATATTATTTTTTTTATATTTTCCCCACAGTAAAATTTAAGCATTTTTAAGGTAAATTTTCAAACTTTTCCAGCAAAAAGTGAACTACATTCAAAACCTAAACCCTGTTTTGGATTAATTTCTCCTTATTTTGCGATAGAAACGATTAAAACTGCAACGGAAGTCAAGAAGGCGTGAATAACGGTACCTCTCTGCATCAGGGGGCTGGGCTGGTTGAGGAGCGTCGCCAGGCCGTGGTAGATGGCTCCCTGCTTGGCCACCTCCAGAGTCACCACAGAGCCCGTCCGCGTCATCAGCTCTGCAGCCCTGAAAGAAAAAAACACACACACACACACACACAAGACCATCAATCTCCCAACTTCAAGGAAACTTTCCCCATGATGTGGCCGTTTAAAGTGACGCAACAGACAGCCAGGGTTTACATCTGCGGTAACGAGCTTCATTAAGCGGCTCCGTCTTTGATCCAACCGTCTCATGACTCCACTTGAATCTTTCCGCTTTGCTGACATTCATTTTTGCACTAAATCTAATTTTATGTAAACAGATAGTTGGTAGTTTGGCTGTCAGTGACATCCTGATAGAGAAGCTGCACTGAAAAACATGAGCGGTTGCTCCTGTTCAACTTAGTGCATTTAAGCTCCAGATGGTTTTTACAAGCTAGAAGAATCAAGAATCACGTCTTTATTTTATTAGATAAACAGAACCATTTAATAAATTACATATTTACATTCAGACCAATATTCTCAAGCCTTTATGTTAATTATGATGCCAGTGAAAACAGGACTTAATGTTAGAATAGGAATGGGTATTTATTGTATTGTTTATCATTTATCGTGATAAACTTAAAACAATTTTGATTTGTCATCACAATAAATTCCAATTTTTAATGGATCTTAGGGAGTTAATCGATTAATTGTCAGAATAATCAGTTACTAGAATAATTGTTAGCTCAGAGTTAAATAACAGACTAAAATAAAGACACGTTTCCTAGAAGGTGGGGCCTGAGGACCAAATTAACACCTTCATCATCGACCAGAGGAGCCAGAGATTACAGATTTGTCCCTCTGCTGTAATTTGAGTTCAGTCCGGATCCACATGTGTAATTTTCTTCACCACATTCATGTTTCCAAACCCTGTAAACAGATGATGCACTTGTTTTGGATCCACGTTTTGGGAATGAAACAGATCGTTTCGGTTTAGCAGGGAACCAGCTCCAAAGGAACAATTTGGAAAAGTTTTGAGCGGTTCCAAACATTTTGTAACAATCTGTTTAAACTTGTTTGAAGTGAAGAAAGAAAGGCGTTCAGGGAATTACAGAAAAATGTAATTCCAGCCTCGTCCTGCACGCAAATGCAATTAAAATGCAATTAAATATATTATTTGTAATCCGGCTCAACGCTGGGTCGGCATAACGACACCAAACAACAATCCTGTTGCTTTATCTGTGCTATCCAAGCAGGAACACGCCCTTTTCTACACTTCTGGACCCATTTTGACTCTTTGGACCCTCCACAACCGCTCATTATAATTTTGGGTAAATAAAAAAATATACATTTTTATTTAAAAGAACTACGCAATATTTTTAACTACAATAATATTTTGCCTTTTTTCATGAAATAATTTTCATTCCCAAAGAAAGAAAATGTATCCATCTTCTTTTTGTAAAAGTTTGTTATTCGTTCAAGACTTGAATATAAAAATAAAACTGGAAAAATTATAATTTCCAGTATTAAATGATCAAATAATAATTGATTTGGCTTAAAACAATTATAAAAAAATGGCTAACATTTTTAATATAGATAAAAGAATTGTTTTTCCTTTTCAAGTGGAATAATTAAATTAAATATCCACGACAGTCTGACTTTAAAACTATGAGCAAAATGTTTTTAAATCTATTTTACTTAGATGGAAAATTCTTTCATAATTTTCCACAAATTTATCCATCTTCTGTAAAAGGTTTTTCTACATTTCAAAACTTCAGAAGTGAAAATAAAATGGTTATTGTTGGAAAAATGATAATTAAATTCCTGTATTAAAAGCTGTGTTTTTGTAACAGTCAGGCAACATTAGCAACTCTAAACCAGTTTGAGTTTTTAGCTCTTATGATATTAAAGGTGCAGACTCCTGATGTAATGTTATGCAATTTCCATGCTAATCATTTCCTGTTCTTACCTCTCCTGCGACAGACCAACCAGACTGCGTCCATCAACGCTAAGCAACTGGTCACCTGCTGCCAGACGGCCGTCCTGCAAACATCCCATAGTAAGACACTGCAAGATTTCCAAACGTCTATTTTTTTAACGTTTTGCAAAAACTCACCTTGTCGGCCGCTCCGCCTTTCACCACAGACTTGATGTAAATGCCGAGTTTCTCCTGTCCGGCACCCTGCAGAGACGGAGAGGAAAACAGACGGAAATGAACATCGATGTGCACAATCTGCGTTCACAAAGTTTAAAACAACACGGAGAACTAATTAAAACAAAAAGATGATATAAATATCACAATGCTGAAATGAAACACAGCGGTCAGATCCAACATCGTCGCCAAAGTCTGCTGCTAACAAAACGTGATTCATGAACGGCTTGGAGCCGGATTAAACCGCTTCTGAAGTTTAGAGATCATTCAGATAATCCATCAGCTGAGTGACAACAAACCTTTCCATGATTTAAAGTGTAGGAGAAAAGGCTGCAGCTCACGGTTATTTAATTAACTGAATATTTTGACGATTAATCGGATTTAAAAAAAATAGATTTTTCATTTAGCCACATAACCTTCTTTTATACATTGTTGGAAATGCAAATAAATAATTTTTTTAAACATTTGAATCCCTAAAATTCAAAAACAGCATTTCTTTATGAACTATTGATCATTTGCAGCAAATAATTTATCAGCAATTAAAAAAATACTTCTAGCAACATGAAAAACTCAGATCTTTCTGTTTGACTTAACAGTGTACGACTGATTCGTTTACCATTTCTGGGATTAAACTGTTAACTGATGGCAAAAGCTGCTTTCTTTTTGACAGATTTTTGAACAAAGAAGCTAAAGCTAATACTTTGGTTCTGGGTAGAAAAGGTTTACAGAAAGAAGGTTTTTCATCTTCAATATTTAAATATTGAAGATGAAATATTTTGTACAGTTTGGTTTAATTACTGCTCTGTTTTGGTTTTTTGTAGTCTATATACTCCAGTTAGCGATTAATTGACTACTAAATTAGTTAATTATTTCAACAGTCGATTAATCTGATTAATCATTTCAGCAACGCTGTTGGGAGGGAAATGTAATCGTTCATTCCAGATTTGCCTTGTGATATAGGAAAAGCTCAGTGTTTTGGAAACACGGATTGCTTTTACAGGTTATCCAGTTCTGCATTCCTGAGATGAATCTGAGCTTGGACTCCTCTGGTGTCTGTGTTTGAAACCTCAGGGTCTGAAGATTTACTCGTGCAGATGATTTGGTTTTGTTGGTGTCTGTGAGCAACAAAACAACGAAGCAATTCCTCGCCAAATGAGAGACGTCACTGTGCAATGTAAACATTTTATTCTGCAAAAAACTGTCAAATGACCATTAAAAATGTCCAAAAACACAAAAATCACCCAAATCCTTTAATCAGAATGGAAATGCACAATTTTGATGCAACAAGCAAACAAACCTGGCTAATTCTAGCCAAAAATATCGCACTGTGAAGGACAGTGCGATCTCAGTACTGGATATCTGGGTTTTGCATAAATAAGAAAAGTTTGACTTGCAAAGAAACAAAAACAATTAGTTAAAGCTGCATTGTAATCTTGTTTATGCGTTGCTTAGCGACAGCGGAGAGCAGGTTGTTCTCCGTTATCTTGCACAACGTTACCACAAAGTATCTGACTCCTCTGGTGCTGTAAATCACGACAGAGAACTCCTCGTTCCTTCTGTTGCTCAAGAAAATTTTAAATGACTTCGGCTGGATGTTTGGGCCCCAAATGCACAACAAGTGCAGAACAATAAGAACCTAAAAGTTGCTGTATGACAGATGAGATTGAATGTAAACATCCACAGAGATTTGATAATATTTGCTCAAACTGAAATCGTTTCTTTGCGAATCAAGCCGCACCGTCAGTGTCAGTAACCAGAGACAGAGTTTGATTTCCAGAAGGTTTACTGTGGAGGGATATTATTAGATGGCTCACACGCTTTTTATCCGCTTCTCGACATGTTTATCCTTGGAATCTGCAACGGCGCAAACAGAAACCAGAAATATTCCAGAGAAATGCCCGAGGAGCATTTCTGGCATTCAGCTCCAATAAGCGCAGGGTTTTTAGGATTTTATGAAGCAGAATGAGACGGTGGCTGACTTCAGAAACATTTTGATTACTTACAGCTTTTCTCGCTGCAGTTTGTGTGAAGGTTTGCTCCACTAAAATAAATGCAGTTCTGCAACAATCTAAACACGATTTACACACTTATCTGTTAAAAATGAAGCACTTATGAAGAAATTCTTGTTTAAATGTCTGGTAAGAAGGCCAGCCATAATGACTGCTGTCTGTGTTTTTCATGTTTTTGTCGTGAAAGGAGTGAACTTCCTGTTAGGGACTGTTTGAATACTGCAGCCTCTGTCTCAGACGGAGCCACGGCTTCATGCTTGGGGCCAAAACAGCTTCCAGAGACAATTCAGGGAATTCCCTCTGAATGTCAGAGAGGTTTCAGAAAGTTAGAGGAAACAGAGGAGATCCTCACAAATCAAGTCATGTTTACTTTATGTGGCAGCTACTATAAAGAGATTTAAGGGCTTTGCCTAAAATGAAGTTCATTAGTGAGAGAAGATTAAAAGAACTTCAGCAGGGAATAAATCTGCAGCTGCGGATGTTTTTCTATGAAGCTGAACGAGTGAAAATCAACATTCTTGCAAGTTGGCAACAAAAAGGCTTTAAAAACTAAAACGTAAAGTCAATTTCCACTTGTTCCTCATCAGGATCGTTGACCCAGTTCAGCTGGTGGGAATCGGTAGTTATCTAGTTAGAATAAAATAACAGCTAGACATTAGCTGCGTTTCCATCGACCATATTTATGAGCAGTTTGATATTTCAAAAATAAATTTTCCCAATGAAAACAGTAGGCCTGCCATTATAAGAAATAAATCAATTACTCCATGGTAAATTAAAACGGGCTCAATAATTAAATAATAATTTAGCAATTTTTCCTGTTCTCCACCAAAGACTGGATAATAAAACTCTTCAGTCTGGTGCTTTAGACCATTTTGTTTACAGAAACATTGTAATTATTTCGTTTGTCGTTTCTGTTTTGTTTATTTTGAATATTTAAAATTTAAAGTTTATTGATTTTTAAGAATGTGTTCTTGCATTGTTATACCATTATCACTATATTACCCGTTTATGGTCATAAAATAACAATATCATTTATCACAACAACTTCTGGGACAATTTATCATCCAGCACAATTAGTTACCGTGACAGGCCTAGAAACACCCATTGACTAAAAGTTTTAGCGTATTTTTTATTTTTTGGCTGTATGGAAATTGGTAGAGATTACACCAGGCTATGCAACAATATTATAGATGTGAAGTTTGTCAAAAGGTGTTTATTCTTTAAATTTATTTCACTGAGTCAAATAAAGACATTTATTGGTGTTTTAAGTCCTGTTACGCTGCTCTGGACAGTTGGTGGTTACCGTGGCAACCAGTAACTGACAGCTCCTCCCCCTTTGTCTGTTGCCATTGGTAACCGTGGGGCAGAAGCTTCTGGACTGTTGATTTCCTCTTTGGTTAGAATAAATGCAGTGAAGTCAACCTGCACTGCAAAAACACAAAATTTTACCGAATAATTTAGTCTATTTTCTTCTGCAAATGTCTTCAAATAACTTACAAGTTATTTATCAGCAAGATAAAGAAGCTTGTTTTGAGTCAATAATTCCTTAATATTCATGAAAAGGGGGCAGACATATTTAATTTTAACAAGACAATTTTGCATTGCTATGAATGAAATAATCTGCCAGTTGAACTAGTATTTTTTACTTATAACAAGCTTCTATGTCTTGCTGAGAAGTTAGTACACTTGAATTAAGACATTTGTACTAGAAACTAGACAAGTACTTAAGATTGTGTGTTTTTGCAGTGTACTGGACCCGAGACAAAAATAGGAGGGTTACAGATATATGTGTGCAGCTCACATTTTACTCAGAATCAACTCATAATTCATAAAATTCAGTTTGAATTTAAATAAAAGCGTTTGAAACTCCAGTACTCCGATGAACCCCTGCTCCATAAAAGAGGAAACATTCAGCTCTTATTATGCATCGGCCATTAAGGACTCTGCAGATTTGACATGACAGATTCTCCTCGGACAGAAAGCCGCCACGGACATCAGACCCACGCCGTCACGTCGGCCTGATTTACGGCGGACAGAAAGTGCTGCGAACGCACCACAATTACAGCTCGCAACGTTCCAGCCTGCCATGAAACCGCTAATCCGCAGCGGAGCGTTGAGAGGCTGGCGGGACGCCCACACAGGTATCAGAGCGTTTCAGTAGATTACAGCGCTGCTCTGCCTGGCTGACATGATGCAATACAACTTTACAGTTTCTAGGCTGAAATCCACCCAAAATAAAAGCTCAAATCTGATTAAAGAGGAAACTAGCTGAGATTTTTGCTTCCAGATCATCAGTGGTTTAGTAAAAAAACTTTATTACTGCAGATAGATTACTATCTTTAGATTTATTTAATAATTAAACAACAACAAAAAACCTTTTGGAAAGGAAACCTTTAGAAAATATGGATAAACTGCTTCTCAGTTGAATTAACTGACTGAATTATAACAAAATGTTAGATTTTCTCAGTTTGCATTAACTAGTTTTGACATTAGAGATTTTGTTTGAGTCAAATGGAAGGAATAATAAGTTAATAAAACTGTAAAGACGTATTTTAGCCATCAAGGAATTCATGATTTTGTCCTCAGCCTAGCAAAATAAAACTCATATAGTCATCTTTCTTTTTTGTTAGCATTTTTATGTTTTAAAATAAAGAAAATTAAATTTTTGCAAAAAAAGATGGACGCATTTTCTTCTAAAATTATGTAAAAAAAAAAAAAAAGAAATTTCCAACCATATGACAAGAAAGTCAATCTGAGAAATATTACTGTTACGTTTAGAGTTATTGTGTTTAAATTCAATTATTTCATCCTTAACCCTGAATTTGTTGCAGTTATACTAAAAACTAGTGAGTCCTAGATAGTCTAATTTATCAGATTAAAAGTACCTTTTGAAGATAAACCTACATTCGTCTTAAAATATATATTTTTATTGTTCTGGTGTGATATTCTGATTTTAAATTTTGTGTTTTCATTAAAAGTCATCAGAAAATCATCATGATTTAGAGAATAAAGGTGTTAAAA